GCAAGTCTGGAATGTGAACATAGAAGGGTATCACCTTTTTAGAAAGGACAGGAAGGGAAAGAGGGGTGGGGGCATGGCTTTATACGTCAGGGAAGGGATAGGATGCAGTGAGACAGAATGCAGCACAGATGGGGATTCGGTAGAGGCAGTCTGGGTGAAACTTAGGGGTCTTGACAGGGAAAGAGACCTGACGCTGGGGGTATGTTATCGCCCTCCAGGTCAACTTGAGACCCTGGATGATGTCCTGATAGATCAGATTCTAAGGATATCTCAGGGGAGAGACACAGTAATTATGGGAGATTTCAATCTCCCAGATATTAGAAGACTCACTCAGCAGTGACAGCCAGGTCACGTCGCTTCCTAGAAGCTATTGAGGGAGCATTTTTCACACAGAGGGTCCAAGAGGTGACAAGGGGGAGAAACATCCTTGACTTGGTCTTGACCAATAGGGAGAAGCTGATAGATGAAGTACAGAGCAGGGGAGCTCTGGATGCGAGTGATCACTCCATCCTTTGCTTTGAGATCAGGGGACTGGGGACGTGCAGCAGGTCGAGCACTAGAAGCTGGGACTTCAAGAGGCCCAACTTTGGCCAACTGAAGACCACACTGGGGAAAGTCTCCTGGGATAGGATACTGGAAGGTAAGCGAGTTGAGGAGGGGTGGATGGTACTCAAAAGGGAGGTTTTGGAGACGCAAGCCTTGACAATACCTCTAGTCGGTAAGGTGGGGAGGCGGAGGAGAGTGCTGCCATGGATGTGAAAGGAGGTGGTTAGAGGGATTGTATGAAAGAGGAACCTCCATAGGAAATGGGTACTGGGGGAAATAGACAAAAGGGTATACCGGGAGGAGGAGGCCCATTGCAGAAGGATTCTTCGCAAGGCTAAGGCTGATTACGAGCTGAGACTTGCCAAGAATATCAAGAACAACAAAAAGGGCTTCTTTCAGCATGTAAATAGGAAGAGGAAGGGGAGACAAGTGGTGGGACCACTAAATAAGGAGGAAGGAGATCCAGTGACTGATATGAGGGAACAGGCACAGAAGCTAAATGACTATTTTGCCTCTGTGTTCTCCCCAAAGCAGGATGGGGGATATCCGCATAGGAGATTAGATGAGGCTGGGGAATTAGGGGCACAGATTAGAGTCACCCCCCTTGAAGTCAAGGGGCTCCTCAGGGCATTGGACATCACAAAGGTGCTTAGAGAGTTGGCAGGGGTTCTCTCATGCCCGCTGGCCTCCATTTTTGAGGCCTCATGGAGAACGGGTGAAGTTCCAGAGGACTGGAGGGTGGCATCAGTGGTCCCAATTTTCAAAAAGGGACGTAGAAGGGACATGGGGAATTACAGACCAGTTAGCCTTATGTCCATTGTAGGAAAAACAATGGAAAGGCTCATAATAGAGAGAGATGTGGTAATGCTAGATAGGGAAGGGAGGCTGACAGCCACACAACATGGCTTCCACAAAAACAGGTCCTGCCGGACAAACCTTGTGGAATTCTATGACAAGGTTTCAAGGTGGCTAGATGGAGGGGATGCAGTGGATGTGGTATACCTGGATTTCAGCAAGGCCTTTGACAAAGTGCCCCATGATAACCTGGTGGAGAAACTGAGGAGTTTTGGGATACACCAAAGCACTGTCCGGTGGATTAGGGCATGGTTGACTGACCGAAAGCAGAGGGTAACCATTAGTGGGGAATCATCGGGATGGCGGCCAGTGACAAGCGGGGTCCCCCAGGGCTCTGTCCTGGATCTGATCCTGGTTAATCTTTTCATCAATGACATGGAAGAAGGGGTGAACAGTCTGCTGATCATATTCACAGATGATACTAAAACTGGAGCAGTGGCCACAACTGAGGAGCAGGTACTCCAGATCCAAAAGGATCTGGACAGACTATGGAAGTGGGCAGGAGACAACAGGATGGCGTTCGATGTGGATAAGTGCAAGGTCTTGCACTTGGGGCATAGGAATAGCTGTCATAAGTACAGGTTAGGTGACAAGTGGCTGGAGAGGAGCACTTGTGAAAGGGACTTTGGGGTGCTGGTTGACTGCAGGCTAAACATGAGTCAGCAGTGTGATGCAGTGGTCAAGAGGGCGAACGCCACCCTTGGTTTCATAGCCAGAAGTGTGGCTTCTAGATTGAGAGGGGTATTACTATCACTCTATACGCCTCTGGTGCGCACGCAACTGAGTATTGTGCTCAGTTTTGGGCCCCTCGTTACAGGAAGGATATAGCCATGTTAGAGTCAGTGCAGCGTAGGGCCACAAGGTTGGTGGCCAGTTTGCAGGGGATGCCGTATGAGGCGAGATTGAGGGAACTGGGTCTCTTCAGCCTGGAGAAGAGGGGACTCTGAGGGGATCTGTTGGCGACATACAGGTATGTGAGGGGGTGTCACATGGGGGTGGGTAGAGACCTGTTTCCCCCTGCAGAGGAAGGCAGGATGCGCTCCAACGGAGCAAAGCTCAGGGAGCCAAGGTTCCATTTGGATGCCAGGAAGCACTTCCTGACAGTCAGGACCCCAAGGGTGTGGAATGGGCTTCCACAAGAGTTTGTTGAGGCCCCATTGGTGAGGGTGTTCAAAGATAGGCTGGACATGCACATGGTGGCCATGTTGTGAGCGGAGCCGGCTGGTGCCGGAGGTCAGACTAGATGGTCCGGGACACCCCTTCTGACTCGCTCTGTTTCTGTTTTTTTTTTTTTTTGGTTATGGTTTGTTGTCTGAAACACCTTGGCTGTCCTCAGAAAATCAGGGCAGCCATGCATGCACACCCCCTTGAAGCACATTCCTAGATGAAGAGAACGAGCTACAAGGGATTCCTGTCATGTGACAGGGAAAATCTGCATGGCGTCCAGGGCTTGAACCAGTAACCTGATGGCCTGAGGTTGGTCCCAGCCTAAGGAGCCAGCCAGATCGGGCCGCTGAACCCAGTGCGGCACTGGTCCTCATCATTGAGAAATAGCATGGCTCCTCGGGATTGGCTGAACTTGCCGCCCTGGTCTGGTCCATGGAATGGACCCCCTGAACTGCTGAGCTCCCAGCGCAGCCTCTGCTTCATGCAGGAGGCCCAGCTCATGAGTCGGGATGCCTGCATTCCAGGTCTCTTGTTCATGCAGCCCTCCTTTGCTCCGCCTCGACCAGACTCGTTTTGCACGGAGGCGGGTTTTGCAAGCTTGTAATGTGCACCTAAGCCCACCGTCTGTGCAAGTTGTCTGGAAATGAATATCACCTTGGCTAATGGAAGCGAATGGGGCAGAATTTGTAAATGAGATCCTGGTTTCCCAAGCATGGTCTGTAAGATGCAGATGGCCTCAACCTGCATCTTATCTTAGCACTTCATTAAGTAAAGAGCAGTGTGCGTTAGACAGAAACTTTAAAAAAATGATAGATTTTTACTGGGAGTGAAGTTCTGGTCATTAATTTCAAGCAAAGAAGGCTCAAAAGCTGGGAGCAGGTTCAATTTCAGTTGCTGCTGTTTTATAAATGACACCGGTGATATAATTAAATTGGACTTTGGAGTGTCAGTGCAGGGGAAAAGTGATGTATTTGTTTTGTGCTTATCTTCAACCCATTTGTGATTTCAAATGGCGCGTCTTCCATTTTGGGGGGCTCCCGCCTCGCTTTCTAAGAGCACCGTGCCCATTCCTCGGGCAGAGACCGGGAGCAGATTGGAACAACTGGGCGATGGAGGCCTGTCATGGAGGGTGTGGATGGCCCCTTGGCCTGAGCTCCTGGAAGCGACCGCACCTGGACCTCCAGGGTGCGTCCACAGCCGATGCCTGGATTGCCCCCTTCCTTTTTCTGGTCTGGAATGCAGGGCAGTGCCAAGCAATGGGATTTAAGTGCCTTCCCCCACATCACCTCCAACGTGGTACTATTCTGCAGCATTTGGGGGCTTTTCAAGTGTGGCTGCCCATCACTACCTTTAGGGTTGCCACCACAGAGGAGAGTTCCCACCAGATGAAACTTTGCCCAGACCATCATTTCTGGGTTTGGTTGCCATGGCAAAGGATTGCTTGTTGTAGCAAGAACATATCTAAACAAGTGAAATGTTTATTTATTTGCAATGTTCTTCAGACTTCTTCAGAGTTTGAGAATGGTGTTCAGAAATGTGAGCTGTTGCATTCACACAGTGAGAGGAGAGCTCGTGTGAGCTCATGGGGGGGGGGTCTCATGGCCCCTAACCAGGGCTGGGTGCTACAGGCTTCCTACCTGGGCCCCCGGAGTCTGGCAGATGCACTGGAAATGCTTGTGACAGCTAAACTAGACTGGTTCTGTGGGTGGTGAGGAGCGCTGTTCACTCCAGCATCTTCCTTATTCCTCCACCCCACGCTCAACTGTTAACGCTAGGAGAAGATGCAGCTATGTCAGAACTCTTACAGTTTAGGAAAGGGCTCAGACACCTTGCCTGGCCAGAAAAATCAGGGAGAGGAAACCATGGCTCTGGTCAAGTTGGCTTATTTTTCCCAGTGGTGCAGAGAAATGAATGGGACTGGAAGGGAAGCTGGCAGCTGAGCAGAGAATGGAGTGGGAATAAGCAGAAGGAGTCAATAATTGTCAAGGTTAACTTCGAGGAAGAGTGATTACTGGCAGCGTGGTGCTGAAATGCTGTTCGCTCTCCCCTTACTCTCCTGGCAGTTCTACCAAGCCACACATGTGGAAATCCGGGAAGGCTCCAGAATGGAATCCAGCAGGGGACCACATTCAGCGTGGGCGACAAAGTGCGCTACAGCTGCAACCCCGGCTTCTTTCTGGAGGGCCACGCGCTGCTCACGTGCCATGCAAGTGTGGAGAACATGGCCTCCTGGGACTTCCCTCTGCCCTTCTGCCGAGGTAGGTGTGCTCTCCTTCCTTTTAACCCTGGACTGGCCGAGTACGGCAGCACCAGGGGCATTTGTAGACCTCGGCTGGGAAGAGGGCCCTAAGATGGTGCTGTGAGAACAGAGGCCTCATAACATCGGCTTTGCTTTATGGGATGTGGTTTGGGGACAGGTGCAAGGGAGTTCTGTGGCAAGTAGTTCAAATTTTGCACCAAGGACAGCAAAATCATGTGGCCCAAATTGATTGTCCAAGTAGAGCAAATCTTCATATTGTATTATGCATCACTTATCCTCATTCTGCTAATCAGCATAGCAAGAGGGAGTCAGTGCTGTCTCTGATTGTGGAAATGCCACTCGGTCCTCCTATTCCATCCTGCAACAGTAGCAAGCATGGGACAAACACTTCCGAATATATTGGCAACCATGAGGGTCAGAAATCTCCCTTTTAAATAGAAGCAAATGCTCTTCCAAACCCACATGCCATCCTTTGCACTTTCTTTGTCTGCCCTTCCGTGGAACTGTTTTCTATAGATGGCCCTGCCTATCTTATGACTCCACCCACCTCATTGCTTTTGGGTCTGTTTTCTCCTTCCTTCATGCAGCTATTTCACCAGGGAAATGGGTGGAAATGACACATCTCAGTGTTTGGTGCACATTTGGACCACATTTTTTGGAATGCATGTGCCAAAGGGGGTCAGCGTGGGCCTCTAACCCTGTGCCAATGGCTCTCCTATAAATGCACCAGGGGAGGCCTCTGAGCCTGCTGAGCGGCATCCATTATCACACCATCACAGGGTCGGGAGGCCTTCCCATCTCACCCCTTCCTGGATCCACAAAACTCTGAGTGGGTGAGAGGGGCTGTCCTCAAAGGCAATCCTCATCTCAGGCCACCCCTGCCCTGAGTAGGAAGCTTCAGGCACTGCCTGTCCCCATAAGGGGGCTTTCTGAGGCCCATCAACCTCTGCCTTGACTAAGGGAATCCACGCCTCTCTGGCCACAGAATGTGAGCAAATCACGCCAACAGCCAGGTCAGCCTGCAGGCCAAAGCCAAGCCCAACTCTCTGGACTGTGTGGAACAGGGAAAAAGACCCACTGCCCACAGCCAATCAGACCCCAGGCCAAAAGTTCCTACTTGGGCCCTTCAAACAACTCCTTAAAGCCTATGGCGAGTACCAGCAGGGACAGAGGGAGCCAGGAACTTGGAGAGGAGGTAGGCAGGGCTCTTTGATTTAACACTCCCCAGTGCGCTGCCCATTGACTGATCCAGGAGATAGGTGAGTGTGTGCCCATTGTCTATCACACCGCCTTTCCACCCCACAAGCCAGGCATGGAGGAGGCAGCGCAAAAGCATTGCACTTCCCTGCCTCCTCGGCCTTCCGTGCATGGGACTGGCTGGGCAGTCAGTTTCTAGAACCAGCTGAGTTGCTTTGCCATAGTGACTGCAGGAGCTGAGATCGCCTGCTCTGTCCCCCTCCCCAGCCATCATGAATCCCCGATGCCCTTCAGTCAAGTATCTCATATTGATTACTTTATTGACTCTTTGTTCAAGTAATCAATTAGCAATCCCAAGAAGGAGCATAAATCTTGCATTTAAAATGAGCAAAGGTGGTTTGCCCAGTACAATCCTAAGCCGAGTGCGTCACTGAGGAAAGTGCAGCGGTGCATGTGGCGGGCTGAGCTCTCAGCTCAGGTTCATCTGCTGCTGCTGCCTGCTTTTGTCACCGGTGCCCAGAACGTGTGGAGGGGGACCGAGAGCTGGTACAGAGCGGGGGATTACCCCCCTTCTCTTTTCATCTCTTAAGTCAGCATCATCCATCCTGATTCCTTAAGCAGAACTTCACGTTGAGCTGGTGCTTCCACCAAGAAACCTTATTTTCCAGATTGGTTGTCGGAAACAATCACTTCATCTTGGTGTTCGGTGCCGAATCATGTGATATTCTATTTTGTTTTATTTGCAATATGTGGAGATTGTTGGGGTGGGGGGCGGGGGTAACCGCACTAGTCAAAACCTGCATCCCAGGCAGGCTTGTGTCAATGCTACCTGAAGGCTTTCACTACCATTCTTGGCGATGTGGGAACTCGGCACCTCTCCTGTATGCCAAGTCATCTGGCACTCCTTGCGAAAAAAAGTGGGCTTATTTGTTTAACGTGGCTCTTGTGCGCTCTCGCTGTTGGTGACATCACATTTGCTTTCATTGGTTGTGCCACATAACGCGTTTCCTGACGTTGTAGCAGCGTCTACCTCCTTTTCACTCTGTGCTCCCTGACTAGCTGTATGCACTGCAGGCCTGACTAAGAAGGGCATGCAAGAGGAAGAGAACAAAAGGGGCACCGACGTGCTCCAAGGCCACTGAGTACGGCTAAACAAAGGGTGGATGTTTCGGCAGACCACATCATGTTCAGGAACGACAACTCTCTTGGGCAGACAGCCTCTTTCCTCTTGCATGCAGAAGCTGGTGCACATGCAGCAGCCCTGGTTCCGCAGAGGCCTCCACCAGCAATGGCAACTCCACATGATGCACATCCCGTCTTTCCCTCAGGGACCCTGGCTCTGTGAGAGTTCGCACACTGCTGAGAGAAGGCCTGGGCTTCTGTCCCTGCCCTCTCCTCCCTAAACAGATCAGGTACTGCATGATGGGGAAATGACTTCTCTGCCTTAGCCCTGGGAGCTCCAAGGCCAGTCAGCATAGGCAGTTCTTCATGAGGTGGATGGATGGATTGTCTCACCTGGGGTAGAGCAGCTTTGACTGTATTTCCTTGTGACTGTGGAGGGGATGTGGGTGGCACAGCAGTTTAAACCGCTGACTTGCTGGGCTTGTCAAGTGAAAGGTCAGCAGTTTAGAAACATAGAGACAGAGTGAGTCAGAAGGGGTCTCCCAGGCCATCTAGTCTGACCCCTGGCTCCAGCCGGCTCTGCTCACAACATGTCTACCATGTGCATGTCTAGCCTATCTTTGAACTCCCTCATCGATGGGGCCTCAACGGCCTCTCGTGGAAGCCCATTCCACACCCTTGGGATCCTGACTGTCAGGAAGTGCTTCCTGGCATCCAAATGGAACCGTGGCTCCCTGAGCTTTGCTCCGTTGGAGCACGTCCTGCCTTCCTCTGCAGGGGAGAACAGGTCTCTGCCCACCTCCTCATGACATCCCCTCATGTACCTGTATGTCACCAACATATCCCCTCAGAGCCCCTCTTCTCCAGGCTGAAGAGACCCAGTTCCCTCAGTCTTGCCTCATACGGCATCCCCTGCAAACCAGCCACCAATCTTGTGGCCCTACGCTGCACTGACTCCAACCTGGCTATATCCTTCCTGTAATGAAAGGTCCAACACAATACTCCACAATACTCCACACAGGTTGAGTCCACACATCGAGTGCTCTACTGTTGCTTTGTCCCAGGCTCTGCCAGCCTAGCAGTCTGAAAGCCTACAAATGCGAGTAGATGAATGGGTACCACTTTGGTGGGAAGGTAGCAGCGTTCTGTGCACCTCAGAGTTTCGTCATGCCAGCCACATGACCACAGAAACTGTCTGGACTAACGCTGGCTCTCTCAGCCGAGAAACAGAGCTGGCCACTGCCCCCTCGAGTCAGACCTTTACCTTTACTAACTGTGGAGATGGACCTCAAAAGGTCCATACCCTCTAACCACCATGTCCCTCTAACCGAGGAAACCTGGAGGATGGGCACCCCTTTACAGGGCTGCCAGATTCTGAACTCTGCATACGCAAGAGTCACATTTTGTGCTGCTGCATTGGCTTGGCCTGAGTCCTCCCGGTGGGCAAATTGTCTGGACATAGAAAGCATTACATGGCAGTTTGCCAGTGAGTTACCTAAACTGAGAAAGCATAAACGGAGGCTTATCCAGTCCACGCACGGTTCCTGCAGTAGCTGGCCAGCCACTGAGATGCTCACAAGCAGCAATGCACTGAACGCCTTCCACTGTGTTGCACAGCAGGTGAACGGTTTGCTTGCAGTGCAGTGTTTTAAAATATACCAGCAAAAGAAAAGAAGAAAATCTGGTAGATGGTTTTTGACAATATTATGCTATGACAAATAAAACAAAACATGAAGGGATGTCAAATGTCAGAGAGATATTTAAACAAAATCATGAATTAAAAATGATGACTTTTACATACACTGCAGGGACTTCATATTACATCAGGTGTGGGAACATTTTTCAGTTCAAGACCCCGGTTCCAGTATCAGAAAGGTCTTGGGAAGTCTGTATTCCATGAAGGTATAGTCAGCCGGGGTAAAAATATGATTCTTCCTGATTTACATCCATTTGGAACTAAGGACAAGCCACTGGTTGTATACTCAGGAGTAAGCAACAAGCAAATTTCCAAATGTGTCCCAAATGCTAAGCTCATGGGGAAGCCTGTGCATCATCTCTGACCAGCTGTTGATGGGGGAGAGAACTTTTCCCCTCCACAAGGGAGAGTGGGAGTCTGACAGAAATTGGCAAGGTGTGATAGACCAGACGTCCTTGGTGTCTCCTGGTGATTCCAGGTATTCCAGCCACAGACAATTTCACCTGATCTTGATGGCCCACATTGACTGGGTTCTCCATAATATAAAGCATTTAGGATGGTGTAAATGGGTGTCCTGAAGCAGCATCCCACTACTTCCTTCCAGTGCCTGATCATATCCAATGCCAATAGAACCTTGCAGTGCTTGCTTTTCCCGCAATTCGTAACATTTCAGATTCATTCTTTTCCATATATAAAGAACTTTGCCGATGTTGGTGGATGCTCATTAAAAGCAGTAGGTAGAGGTGTTCCCAATATGGAAAAGATCATCATGTACCTCTGTGGCTGAATATAAAGGGATCCAAATCTGGATTTTTAAGAGCAACACAATCAAAGCCCTGGGTCTTGGTGAATGCATCTACTAGTGTTAGTTTCTCCCACATTTTTCTTTTTACCTCAGTACCTTGTGTCCTCAGCATGAAGATGTTGCTAGCTCTGACAAATTCTTGTCAAAATCAAATTCATACCCAGCTCTGCTTTTGGGG